AGGTCCTCCTCAAGGGATGTCCATAACAATCTTATACAGATCTTTGAGTTCTGCAGGAACTAAGGCCCCACCCAGGTGGAGTATGGTAACTACAGGCTATGACCTCAGCCTGGTCAGAACCTAAGGAATGATGACATTGACCTTTTCTGACTCTTGTGACGTCAATCAACTAAAGCTTAGACTCTGGTTAACCTTTCCCCCAATTCTATGCAGAATTCTCCTCTGCTCCAGCCCCTTCATGAACACACATGTATCCTTAGCTTGAAACTCCCCTAGTTTTGCTGTTCGGGGGAACATGGCTTTGGGAAAGATCCCCCATGTTCTCCTTACTTGCTGCAAGTAATAAATCCTTCCTTCTCCTGATCTTGGCCTGGTTGTATATTTTGGCTTGACACCTACCAGGAGGCGAACCCAGTTTTCGGGTAACAGGTATAATTCCCTGTGCTATACAGTATATCCCTGTTGCTTATCTATTTTAAATGTAACAGTTTGTATCTGTTAATCCCATAAGCCTAATTTGTTCCTCCCTCTTTCCCTCTTCCCTTTGATAACCACAAGTTTGTTTTCTATATCTAACAGGATATATTTGCGTAAGGAAAGAAATGAGAGGAAAATACATTACGTAGAGACCATTCAAGTTTTGGCTTAGGTGATAGAAGAGTAGAAAAAATTGAAATGACTTAAGACATTATTGTTTCATATGAGTCAAAAATATTTAAGGAAGAAAGTTTTCACTGGCAGTAGTTCTAAGTTATGTTTTAAGACATGTGGGCCCAAAAAGAAAGATGATAACATTAGTTTCTCTGGGTATGAGCATAACGTGTAAGCATGTATCTTTATAGCGTCATTATTTATTTCTGTCCCTTTTATTGGCTTGTAATACTCAGTGATGATTTTGTATACAGTGAACTACAGTATTGACATTTTCTGAAATATCCTGATTTAGGACAGGCCAAGCCATCATGCTTTTACAATTGGCTTCAACTTCTTAGGGATTCTGGTTCTGCGAAAGGATTAAATCCTGTCTAATAGCTCTAATTTATTAGCCTAGTACGCACAGGCCCTGCATTATCTTGCTTAATCATCAAGATAATCCAGTGAAGTTGATATTGTATCATTTTCCAGATGAGGAAATTGAGACTCAAAGAGGTTCCCAAAATCATATGGCTGGTAAATGGTGAAGGTGTAATTCAAATGAGATCTGCTTAGCTCAAAGCCTGGACCATTCTTCTAGTTTCAGAAACTAAAAACTTTCAGGCAATATCCGCCACCTGGACCAAGATGAGCTGCACGTAATTTTTTTTTTTTTTTTTTTGTGGTACGTGGGCCTCTCACTCTTGTGGCCTCTCCCATTGTGGAGCACAGGCTCCGGACGCGCAGGCTCAGCGGCCATGGCTCATGGGCCCAGCCGCTCCACGGCATGTGGGATCTTCCCGGACCGGGGCACGAACCCGTGTCCCCCGCATCGGCAGGTGGACTCTCAACCACGACGCCACCAGGGAAGCCCACACGTAATATTTTTATTTACATTTAAAGATGACCTGGCTCATGAAAGAATGCTGGTTGTGGTCCATGGACTCACAGAAATGATAAACCATCTTTGAGGAAGGAATCAGTCCATCTGAAGAGTGTATTAAAGGGAAAAATAAGACAAATAAAGACATGGAGCTGCAGCAAGGGGACAAAATGGATGAAGAGGAAAAAGAGAAGAAAACCATGTCTCAAACCCCAAATTCCGCAGGACAGGACTATGGTGCAAAATAGGGTTTACCAGAAGTTGCCCTCGGTGTTCCTTTTTACCTGATATCATCTGCACGAAAAAGTTGTGGTGGAAAGTATTGTGGTACCTGCCCTATAGCCCTGCATCCCTGAGGGGTCCCCTGGCAGGACTCTTGCAGTTTACCAGAAAAATGTTCCATAGTTCACAGTATCAGGGTCAGTTCTTCTGGATGCTGGCTCTTAAGAATTCACAACCTTCTAGATTAGAGAAGAGTCTGGAAAAATACGTATCAGCCTTTTATCATTGGTTATTTTATAGTTATTATATATAGTGGTATTAAATGTTGAGAAATGTTTACTTCCCATGTTAAAAAAAAAAAAAAGATGACCTGGCTGAAGGTGATTCCTATCCTGTGTGTACTGGAGCAGCTAAGACCAGCATGTGACTGTCATAGGGTCAGCATATTTGGACAAGAATAAAAAGGCCCTGCCTTGTGTGGAGGCTTGTGCCAGACACTGGTGGGTGGGGCTGGGTGACGAGGCTGCTAGCTGCAGGGCCTTGGAGGGTCCTGGTAGCCCCTTTGCTAATTTTTTTTTCTTTTTTGGCTGTGCCCCGCACGGCTTTTGGGACCCAAGTTCCCTGACCAGGGATTGAACCTGGGCCACCACAGTGAAAGCACTGAGTCCTAACCACTGGACGGCCAGGGAATTCCTGCCCCTTTGCTATTTTAATTGCACATAAGATGAGCCTTCACAAGGAGGGCCTGAAAGGTCCAGTTTGCCTCCACGGTGTCTTGGTGGATACCAGGGGTACTGAAGAAGTTGGGAATGGTGGTGAGGCAGTGGTGCTACCTCTGCTCCAAGGATAACATACAGCCACTCCTCACTCCAGTGAGCCGCCTAATCACTTGGTCCAGCCTGTGACCTTACACAGTTTGACACGCAAGACAAGGTGGTCAAGCCAAGCATGGCTCCAGGCTCCACCACCCTTCCCCATCACAGTATACTTGAGACCTCTTCCTTCCCACCTTTGGTCTCAGTCTTGTTCTCATTCCCAAACCAAGCAGGAGATGCTCAAGGAGTGCCAGCCCGTGTTCTATGGCTCAGCATCCAGCCTGTTAGTCTTGCCGTCTAATCTAGTGCCTAGTGAGTCATTCACGTCACTTTAGGAAATATTTAGACTCATGGGAACAGAAGCCCTGAGTGAATAGGAGGGAGGAATGAAAAATATATTTTTCATTGGGGAAAAAGGAACATGAAAGGTTCAGAACTCAGAGGACTTTTAGAAACGGTTAACTATAATGGGCCAATGAAACCCTAAATGTACACCTAGGAGAACCACCGAAAAGAGGTGAGGAGGCCAAATACACAAGTTATTCGGAGGGAGGGTAGGGAGTGGGGTAGACCAGCGGCTTGGCAGATGGAAGGTGAGGGGTGGCAGCGAAGCGGGATTTCTTTCTCTCTCTCCTGCAAAGATCCTCAACTGTTGATGAGCTTCTGAAGCTTGTGAAAATGGAGATTCATGGACCCTACCCTCAAAGCTTCTGACTGTCCCATTGGGATGAGCCTCTGGCATGGGTGTGTTCCTAGGTACTTCAGAGCATTCATATAGCTTGGTCTGAAGACCAGATCTTGAGAATTACTGCTGTACTGTGATCTGACGGGTATGTCACAGATTTTTAAAAGTTGGGTAATAATTCAGAGAGTTGTCACTCACAGTTTGAGAACAGTTACCAATAAATCTCTGAGAAGAAAAGCAGATTAATTGCTTTGCTTACTTCTAACCCCTCCTTTTAAAGCTTGAGTGTCTTTACTCTGTATCCATTCTTATCCCTCTCTCCACCTGAAGGAGGTGTGGCTTTATTATAGAGCCATGTCCATCAAATGTTTTTAAAGTCTGTGGGGAGGTAGGGTTACTGGCCAGGGGTAAAGTTGCTAAACTAAAGGGTGGATGAGACTGAGGAAAGGGGAGCTGCTTCCCTTAGCTATACGTGACAATCAATGTTAAACCGTGGTCGACTCTGCTTAAAGGGAAGGCCCTTTATTGTCCTCTACTGTACTGTCCTCTACTATACTGTCCTCTGCAGGTAGTACCAGCCAGGCAGGGCAGCCTTGGCAGTCAGTCATTTTCTGGATGTTGCAGAGGGAACATTGCAGGGATGTTGCAGAGGGATGTTGCAGAGGGCAGAGGGAACATCTCTGAGCCCAAGGCACAGCAAAGCACTTTATACAGAGGGCTTAATTGGTCTCTCTCTCTTTCCAGACAAACAGACATAAAATAACAACTCAGTCTTTTCCTTTCTCAGGAAAAGGAGAAAAGAAAAAGCCGATATTTGTGAAGTGTTGGCATTTTGGTTCTAATGTAGGTATTTATTTTAGTGGAAATAGCTGACAAGTCCATGCTTCAGGGGAAAGCTAACCCCCCACACTGGAGGGGAGGAATGGAAGCGGAAGCACTGACGCCTCTCCATGCCACGCTCTGGGCCTTGCTGCCTCCCTAACCCCAGCTGCATGCTGGCCTGAAGACAGTTTCACACAGGCAGGGCAGAAGAGCAGGACAAAGGGTCCTACAGAGGGGCTGCATTTTCTGTTTGCAGATTCACATCGGCCCAATCTTCACGCTAGGGAAGAATCGGAATCTCAAGTTGGAAAAAAGAAGGTATAGTAGTACAGTCTTTGAGGGGAGAGGCAGCCTTCTGAGTGCTGGAAGCAGCACTGAGTTGGGAGTTGGTCTACCTTGCCCCTGCTCTGGCTCTGTCCTCATGAACTCATATGCCCTTGGGAAGGAGATGCAATTAATAGCTTGTACATACACAGTCAGCCCTCTGTATCTGCAGTTCAGATTCAGCCAACTGCTGATGGAAAATATTTGAGAAAACAGTTCCAGAAAGTTCCAAAAAGCAAAACTTGAATTTTCCAGCAACTATGTACATAGCATTTACATTGTGTAGGTATTATAAGTAATCTAGAGATGATTGAACGTATACGGGAGGATGCGTGCAGGTTATATGCAAATACTATGCCACTTTGTATAAGGGACTTGAGCATCCCGGATTTTGGTATCCATGGGGGTCCTGGAACAAATCCCTCATGAATACTGAGGGATGTATAGAACTCGAGGGCGTTAGATTTGCTGATCTCCAAGGCACATGAAATCAGATTAGAAGTTCAGTGAAACGCTTTTTGTAGGCATTAAATGAGCATCGTTAGGTTGAATTATCTAACAGATGAACTCTATTTGACAAGGAGATGAGAGTGTGTCAGGATACTTTCGGCATTACCTGTCATGTCTCAGTATAGGTGTAGGCAACACGCTTGTCAGGAGCCATCCAAACTCAGCCAGAGTGTGCAGGAGAGGGCCGTAATCCGTTTTGATTTCACAGCCCTGTGTGAATAAGCACAGAGTTCATAGTCTAATGACAAAGATAACCAGCTACACAAGTGATGACAATGAGGGTGAGAAGTGTTAGGATAAGGGGAGTTCACGCTCCATTAAGTGCAATTTCACCGGCTGCAGTCTTCCTGGGCTTCTTTTCTGCTCCCTCTGCCTTCCAACCATTCAACCAAGTTAGAAACACTGGGGATCGGAGCGGAGAGAGGTTTCCATGTGGTTCTCTAAGGTTGGGGCCTACCTTCCCTCGGTCTTGCTTGGGCATCAAACTTTAATATAGGGGGCGGGGTCTGGGAATCTGCATTTTAAAAAGCTCCCTGGGTGATTTGGATCCAAGTAGAGTCCATACACTTTCAGAAACACTGGTGTAGGGGCTGGGAGTGAGGACAGGAATAGAGAGTGAGCACTAGGGAGTGAAAGGTGAGAAGAGCAGAGAATCTTCACTGCTTTTTACTCACTTGGAATTGATTCTTACTTGGAGCTTTATCTCTTACCCCAAATCCTTTTCTCCCCCTCAACGGGATTTCCAGTTTCTTTTTCTCTTTTTTTTTTTTAAATTAATTTATTTTATTTTTGGCTCTGTTGGGTCTTCATTGCTGCGCGCGGGCTTTCTCTGGTTGTGGTGAGCGGGGGCTACTCTTTGTTGCGGTGCGCGGTCTTCTCATTGTGGTGGCTTCTCTTGTTGCGGAGCATGGGCTCTAGGCACGCAGGCTTCGGTAATTGTGGCTTGCGGGCTCTAGAGCTCAGGCTCAGTAGTTGTGGCGCACAGGCTTAGTTGCTCCGTGGCATGTGGGATCTTCCCGGACAAGGGTTTGAACCTGCATCCTCTGCATTGGCAGGCGGATTCTTAACCACTGCACCACCAGGGAACCCCGGATTTCCAATTTCTTTGAAAATGACCTATGTCTCTCTAACCTTTGCAAGGCCAGAAAGGGCAAAAGTGTCCTTGAGAGAGGCTGTCAGTGAGGGCCTCGTGCACACAGCACAGTATACCTGAATTCAGTCTGTACACCTCAACGGCAGTCCATTCGGTGACATCTGAATTCAGAGTGCACAACAACAGCAGCAATGTCATCTCTGATTAGGAAGGACAATGCTGTGTGTACATATTTGGCCTGGTGAGAGAAAGAACACCTTTGGATATTTTTGCCTTTGAAAGTCAATTCACATGGTTAAGAAAGTCAGTCACATTGGTTGCTTGGGTATAAAATTGACTGATTTTTTTTTTTTTTCAGTTTCAGCTAGTTGTCATGGCATTGTGTAAAGAGAATCTCAGTGCCAGGGGAATTTGTTTAGGACTAGAATGCTAAATCTTTGGGAATCTACTGTTATTTATGTATAGATAATTATTTTGCTATCTTTTAACAAAACTGAACATTGAGTAAAACAAACTACCTTTAAACAAATTTGAAAGTTTGTGATGCATTCTGATGAAATTCTGAACATTGAATAAAAATGTGTTTGAAGAATACTGTATGTGTTAGGCAATGAAAACCTTTAACATGTAAAACTAAATGCAATAGTAAAGCCAAATTGTCAGAAAACTTCAGTTTACCTCAATAACTGTCCATTGTTCTACTACGATGGCATCATTTCCTTTCCTGCTGAATCCTGGAACTCCAGAGCCTTCTTCTTCATAGATAAAGAATCCTTCCAAAGATTTCGGCAAATGGTCCCCTGTGAGGAAAAACATACAATTAAGAAGAGTTGTAAATGCTCAGAGTCTCTTGGGATCATCTAAAACCTTAAATAACCCTTGTAGGAAGCTGAAGGAAAAACATATCACCTAATAAACACTTGTTTTAGGGGACTTCCCTGGCGGTCCAATGGCTGGGACTTTGCCTTCCAATGCAGGCAGGGGGTGCGGGTTCAATCCCTGGTCTGGGAGCTGGGATCCCACATGCCTCACAGCCAAAAAACCGAAACATGAAAAAAACCAGAAGCAATATCGTAACAAATTCAATAAAGACTTTGAAAATTGTCCATATCAAAAAAAAAAAATCTTAAAAAACCCCCCACTTGTTTTAGGTGAATCTATGACGTCTCCCTTGAAGGTAATTTTTTTTCAAAGATCAAGACAGTTTGTTTTTTTTAATATTTATTTACTTATTTTATTTTTAGCTGCGTCGGATCTTAGATGCGGGCTGTCTAGTTGTGGCCTGAGTGCTCAGTAGTTGCGGCAGGTGGGCTTAGTTGCCCCATGGCATGTGGGATCTTAGCTCTCCGACCAGGGATCAAACCTGCGTCCCCCTGCATTGGAAGGCAGATTCTTAACCACTGGACCACCAAGGAAGTCCCTCAAAGGTCAAGATAGTTTTATACTTAACTGAATTAAAATTAAACTGTAAACATGAAGACTACAATAACAAAAACAAGATAAAATAATATCATACAGTGAGAAGCAAGTGGATTTCCTAAGCTTAAAAAGCATCTGGAAATGACCTTCACCTTGAAATCAAATTTTGGTTTCTGTTCTATATGCTGTATGTGTGTTAATTATACTATTAAGAGAAACAACATCAAAAATCTTAATCCTTGGAATTACAGGTGTGATATTAAAACCAAGGTGACGTAAGATTACTTAAAAAAATATAAACACAGAACAATTCTTTGCTTCAATGATGCTTAAAAAAAAAAAAAAAAAAAAGAATGGTAACAGGAAGATCCTAAACAGAAGTCATTGTCAAAAGAATTCCTGCTGGGAAGGAAGTTTTAAGGGAGGGCCTCTCTGACATTTTTTTGAATAGCTGACAAAAACCAGCTGGCCAAAACTAAACTGATTTTATGGAAGTTCTTTTGTCTCCTATTTTGCAATAGGAGACAATTTCCCATGGTCATGTGCTGGTTAAGCATTCTAGTTTCATACAGCGTAAGGTCACATCAAAGTTTCCCTTGTTGACAATTATCTAAATAATAACCTACAAAGTTTTCAAAAGATCTATTAAGCTTAAAGATAAAAAAGACAAAAGTAATTTAAATGTAATTTTTAGTTTTCATTTTTATTAATGGGCTATAGGCTTTAAGAGAAAAACACTCTTATTAGTATTTTTACATCAGTTACAGTTAGGGCAGAATATCATGAAGAATTTACATTATTCAGAGCGGTCCCCAACAATCCAGTAAAGTTTAATTGACTTGTTGGAATTGTTTTTCTAATTACAGTATATGTTCCACTTCCTTTAATGTACTTGTCTACTGTCATACCAAAGTGACCGGTGGAACTAAATCTGTTTTAGATTGTAAGTTTAGAGCATCACAAGACCATCTTTAAAATTGTATATTTGGGGCTTCCTTGGTGGTGCAGTGGTTAAGAATCTGCCTGCCAGTGCAGGTTTGATCCCTGGTCCAGGAAGATCCCACATGCTGTGGAGAGCAACTTAGCCCAAGAGCCACAACTACTGAGCCTGCCTGCCACAACTACTGAAGCCCGTGCGCTTTAGGGTCCACGTGCCACAACTACTGAGCCCACGTGCTGCAACTATTGAAGCCCACAAGCCTAGAGCCCGTGCTCCGCAACAGAGAAGCCACTGCAATGAGAAGCCCACGCATCGCAAGGAAGAGTAGCCCCCACTCTTCTGCAACTAAAAGAAAGCCTGTGGGCAGCAATGATGACCCAACGCGGCCAAAAATAAATAAATAAATAAATTTATTTAAAAAAATGTATATTTGCCTCAAGTCCTTTTTTAGAATGGGGGTATAAACTTTAAAAATAATTATATACTGTGATAATTATGTAGTTAATTGTAATCTGCTTCTTATTCACTTTAGGATTATATAATTGGAGAACTATGGGTTTTGTGGCTTTGTGTTTTTCTTGTTCTTGGTATTGAGAGTCCCTAGTACTTCTAAACTTCTTTTGGTTTAAAAGAATAAAAGTATGGTAGACTCATACACTGCAGTACTACCAAGAATAAAAAAGAAAGACTCACCGGTATGCAACAACATGGATGAATTTCAGAGATATTATGTTGAGCAAAAGAAGTGAGATGAGAAAGAATACATACTGTATATTTCAACTTACATGAAGTTCAAAAACAGGCAAAATTAATCTATGGTGCTGGAATTCAGAATAATGCTTGTCTCTGTGTGGGAGGGTATTGATTGGGAAGGGCCATGAGGAGGCCTTCTGGGATTTTGGAAATGTGTATCTTTTTTTTTTTTCTCATTTTTTTCAATTTTTTTGAGATATAATTGACATATAAGGAAATGTTCTTATCTTGAACATTTGTGTTCTATTCTGCGGTACACATAAGATTAATGCACATTACTATATGTATCTTATACTTCAGTTAAAAACAAAAGACCTGCCTTCTCACTTCAGAGCTCCCCAGGTTCCCTGGCTAGCTTTCTTAGGGACCATGCCAGTCCTTAGAGCCACAGAAGAATGATACTTCCACAGGAGAGAGTATTTCTCTCTTGAGAAATTCTCCCTAACAGAAGTGGCAGCTAAGGAGGGTGGCAGGCAAGGCCTCATGGGGGCTGGGGGGGGGTGACAATTTGGGTGTTTGATGTGTTAAATCTTCCAGGTATTGGGGTGAGGTGATAATTCTGAACAATTACTTAATAACTGTCCAGAACTAAGTCATCTCTTTTTTTTTTTTAAGATTTATTTATTTATATTTGGCTGCGTTGGGTCTCTGTTACTGCGCTGGCTTTCTCTAGTTGCGGCGAGTGGGGGCTTCTCATTGTGGTGGCTTCTCTTGTTGCGGAGAACGGGCTCTAGGCGCACGGGCTTCAGTAGTTGTGGCACTTGGGCTCAGTAATTGTGGCTCACGGGTTCTAGAGCGCAGGCTTAGTAGTTGTGGCGCACGGGCTTAGTTGCTCCGCGGCATGTGGTATCTTCTCGGACCAGGGCTCGAACCCGTGTCCCCTGCACTGGCAGGCGGATTCTTAACCACTGTGCCACCAGGGAAGTCCCATGAACTGAGTCATCTCTTAACATCACTTATCTCAGAGCTTCCCACCTTGTGTGCCTTGGCCCATTGGTGTACTTAGAAGGTGTACAGGTGTGCTAAGGCACAGGGCACCCCCTCCTGCCCAGAGCAGCCTTTCCGCTTGTACCCATGTGCCCTGCAATTTTACCATTTGCTATGGATGCATAACATGAAAAAGTAACAAAGCATTGGTCTGACCCACTGCTTCTCAAATTTTTTTTTTTTTTTTTGGCCAAATACCATCAATAGCAAAGGAAAGTACCCTTGTATCACTGAAGGATGGTCTCCAGGTACAGTTTGAAGTGACTTGGGGCAAAGCATAAGCTTTCTTTAAAGTCTAATGTTATATCTTAAAAACCCATGCAAATTTTGCATTCTATTCAAATATGTTCATATGACGTGAAAAAGCAATATTTCCTCTTCTGCTTTCTCCTACCCCCAATCTTAAAGGAATATTGACACTCTAGGAAGAGGTTTATCCTGTGAAGTTGTGTACTCCCTGGCACATAGCTGCATACCCCTAGGGTACTTTGACCCTGGTTTGCGAAGCACAAGTTTAAAGAATTTCCAGGGAATGGTTTACTTGTCTGGAAATGTGATCTTACACATTCATTTCAGCTAGATGTGACATTGACATTTCTGTAAATGTGAGGAAATGTAACATCCCATTTTAGTATTTGGGGCCAAGTGTCATTTTTGGCATTAAACTGCCCAGAGGGTGGGCCTGGGACCACGTCTGAGAAGTGGAGGGCAGGCACATATGGGAACTCTCATTCTGTATCTCTTTTATGAGCATTCTGTCTCCAGAATGCATCTCAGTCTGTTTACTGCTGCCCATCCACCATCATCTCTCTGGATCACTGCAACAGCCTCTTAGCAGCCTCCCCACTTCCATGCTTGCCCTCCATGATCCGTTTCCAAAAGTGAGGCCAAGTAAGTTATTTTTTAAATGTAGGTCAGGTCATAACTCCCTCCTTAAATCTTCAACAAATGACTTGGAATAAAAATCCTGACAGGATGGCAAGTTGGTTAAGAGCACACACTCCACCTACCTCCTACCCCTTCTAGCTGCTTGAACATGAGCCCATTATTTAAAATCTCTGTGCCTCAGTTTCTTCATCTATAGAAGGGGAACAATCATACCTACCCCATAGGGTTGCTGCGGGGATTAAATGAGTGAATAACTGTGAAGTGCTTAGAACAATGCTGGCATAGAGTAAGTACAAATATGTGTTAGTGCCTGTTGCATCATTTATATTGTTAAGATCTAGGTGGCGTGGCTACTGCTCACCTCTCCTACTTTGTCGGGAGCCATTCTCTCTTGTACACCCTGCACCAGCGACACAGACCCTTTCCCAGTTCCTCTCTTGCATCCTAGGTTTTTTTACATTTGGGGGCGTTTCCTCTGGTTCCTGAACACCAGCCCTCTCTAGGCTTCCAGTCTCAGTGTGATTGTTACCCTGTCAGAAGGGACCTCGTGACCACCCATCTAAGCTGGTTCTTCCCAGTTACTCTCATTACAATATCCTGCTGGGTAACGTCACACACTATTCTCAATTTTGAAATTAGGTATATATGTTTTGATGCCCATTACAGCCTGATGCCATGTGACTTTTTTTTTTTTTGGCCTTGCCCTGCGTTGCCTGCAGGATCTTAGTTCCCCAACCAGGGACCAAACCCATACTCTCTGCAGAGGAAGCATGGAGTCTTAACTACTGGGCTGCCAGGGAAGTCCCGTGGCTAGCTTTTTGAGAGGAGGGAAGATGTCCATTTTGCTCATCAGTGTAAACCCCTCATGCCTGGCCTAGGACCTGGCATATACATATATGTGAAATGAACACATACATGTTCCAGTTCTAACTGCTCATTCTGATACATCTCCCCCGCCAACTCCACACAAGCATTTTTATAGGAGTGAAGAGATTGAAATGAATATCAGTTGAAGTCTGAAAAGAATTCACAAAAAATGAAAATGTAGCCTTCAGATGTGGGTATACTAAAGGTGGGAAGAGGCTGTGCTCTGAGGGTGATGGGGGCATTGGTATGCCAGTGAAGTGTGAGAACCTCAAGTGTTGTGTGTGTATGTGTGTGTGTGTGTTTTGTATCACCTGGCAAAGTTGCTTATCTCATCCCTGTCAGCTGCCCCCCTGGATCTCTATATGTTCTGGTAGAATAAAGTGTTTTGTCTCTGTTGGCTCAATTGGGTAAGCCTCTTGTAGCCTCCCTTGGGTTCATTTGGAGCTTTTTGTAAGTGTGCAGAGAATTCAGCTGCAGACCAGTTTGGTGAAGGCTGGGCAGTGCTGGAGAAGGTCAGGAACAGGAGGCCACTGCAGTGAGAACCCTCAGGCCATACGAACAGCAAAAGGGTCCCTGGGTGCCTCTGCCTATGGGACTTTTCAAAGCAGAAAAGGCTTTGAAAATGGGTAGGAAAGGGCACTGAAGAGGAATTTCACAAACCTTACAACTTTTCCACCATGACTTTCCTGAAGGAGAAAACTTTTAAAAGTTTTTTTCCCCCTGTCTCCAGAGAATTTTATAAAGTGAGATTTATAGAATGAGATGTGTGGAGTAATATGTTTAAATTTCTGAGCAACGTTTGGTTTTTTACTTCTATTCCTCATGGTGGGCTGACTTCTGACAATATTTTGGAAGAGGATGGAAGCAAGACAAAACAAAATATGCATTGTCCCCTATGTGCTTTAGATGTCAGGCATCAGATATCCCGGAACAAAGCGACCAATTCAGCCCTGCTTCCTCTGACTTGCTTCTCACAGTGACACAGGCATTGGTCACAATTTCCCCTCCACAGCTTCCCTGTGTACTCCCAGGAAAGTCCCGAGTGACACACCCAATTGCCAGACTTTACAGACCGTGGCTCGTGGCTTGTTAGGGCTTGGCGAGGCCTGCAGAACGTCTAATGAGACATTCCAGGGCTGCTGAGAGGGAAAGACTTTCCCCCGGGCTCTCTAAATAGCTTCTGAGGCTTTAAGAACAAAAGCCCTACAGAGCCTCTGGCTGGCAACTGCTGTGGCTAATTTTATTTTCATCATCAGGCCAGGCCCAAGGCCGGGATGCCTGAAGGACACTGTGAAAGGAGGATTTTTTTGTCTTTCCTTCAGCAGTTAGTCACAATCCAAAATTTGGAATGGATGTTTTTTTTTTTCTGCCGTGCCTTGAAGCTTGTGAGATCCTAATTCCCTTACCAGGGATCGAACCTGGGCCCACGGCAGTGAAAGTGCGGAGTCTTAAGCACTGGACCGCCAGGAAATCACCGCCCCCCTCTCTTTGTTTTGAACAGCTCTAACTTAGAGTATTTGGAGTGAAGAGAAAGAGATGGGGCGGGAGGGAATATATGAAGCATAAACTGAGCTTTAAAGAGATGATTCGTACTAAAAGTAGTGTAGGGACTTCCCTGGTGGCTCAGTGGTTAAGAATCCGCCTGCCAATACAGGGGACACAGGTTCGAACCCTGGTCTGGGAAGATCCCACCTGCCTTGGAGCAACTAAGCCCGTGTGCCACAACTACTGTGTGCTGCAACTATTGAAGCCTGCATGCCTAGGGCCTATGCTCCGCAACAAGAGAAGCCGCTGCAACGAGAAATCTGAGCACTGCAACAAAGAGTAGCCCCCGCTCTCTGCAACTAGAGAAAGCCTGCGTGCAGCAATGAAGACCCAACATAGCCAAAAATAAATTAATTAATTTTAAAAAAATGGAAAACCTGCAGAAAAAAAACCAAAAATTTACTGTAAGTGCATCTAGCAAGTGGCAGGAGAAAAGATCAACCCCAGAAAATGAACTCTGACAGTGGGCAAGGCACGTGGGAGTTACTTTGTACGTACTATATCTTATTAAGTTCTCACAACAGTTAGTAGGAGTGTTTTTATCCCCCTTTTAGGAAACTGAGACTCAATGAGCTCAACTAACTTCCCCAGGTCACACAGCTCTAAGTAGAGGACACAGGATTTAAACCCTGGTCTGTCTGATGCTGAAGTCCATGCGCTTCATATCAGGTCCGGCTATTAACATAAAAGATCAACTTGGAAGAAGTTTCCAGTAACCAAAAATACTAATAAATATTTACTGAGCACTTGCTAAGTGCCAAGCACTATGCAAGGTGATGTTTTTTGTGGTGCTCCATGGGGTGCTCCAATGAGCTAGATCCTTACTCTTGGTTGCTACTTAAAGGGACCTGTTGGAACATGACTCGATAATTTTAAATAATCATCCAAAGTCTTTAGTTGTATTAGTTAAGGTATCACTAGGCTGATTTAATAATAATAGGGTTTATTGAGATCTCATTTTATTTTCTTTTTCATTCCTTCCTCTAACCTCGAGTCATGGTCCCTAACTATCCTGATTTTCATAACCTCCACCCTTCCTAATGCATTTTTCCAGTCTCCTTACTATCTTTGTTCTTTTTTTTTTTTTTTAGCACTAATCTCTTTTATTTTTAAAAAATAAATTTATTTATTTATTTATTTTTGGCCGCGTTGGGTCTTCCTTGCTGTGCGCAGGCTTTCTCTAGTTGCGGAGAGCAGGGGCTATTGTTCATTGAGGTGTGCGGGCTTCTCATTGCGGTGGCTTCTCTTGTTGCAGAGCACAGGCTCTAGGTACGTGGGCTTCAGTAGTTGTGGCATGCAGGCTCAGTAGTTGTGGCACACAGGCTTAGTTGCTCTGCGGCTTGTGGGATCTTCCCGGACCAGGGCTCGAACCTGTGTCCCCTGCATTGGCAGGTGCATTCTTAACCACTGCGCCACCAGGGAAGTCCCAGCACTAATCTCTTTTAAAAAACACTTTCTTTAGAAATAATTTTTGGAAAGATTTGTTTGTTTTTATGATAGACATGAATGATTACATATTCCATTGTAACTAAAAGAAGAAGGTTAGATAAAGATGAAAGATAAGGGGAAGGCATAAATAAATATAGATCAATATAATTTTCTGAACCAAAGTTTATTTTTCTATACGAATTTTAGAAGAAGTCAGGTTTAGACTGGAGGACATGGTAGGTAGTCTCCAAAATTGGGCTAGTGTAATAAATTTGGATAGTAATTGTCAAATGTCATCATAACCTCCTGATTGGGCTGCTGTAGTACATCTTACTTGGAAAATCCTACTAACTAATCACACAGGGGTTTGTCCATTTCTGATAGTCACAACCCAACAGCAAATATCACATTATAATAGTACCACATAGGATGGTTAAGCTTCTAAATTAAAGCTACAGAGTTGTGTAATAATTAGAATCTATTTTCTTAGGAATAATATCTGTCCTTTTAACTTGCTGTATAAGAAATAAGTAAATAAAATAAAATTCAAAAAAATAATATCTGTCCTTTTAGCCATTGAACTTGAGAGGCAAAAACATTTCCACCAACTCTGACACAAGGTCAAATTCTTTAGATATCAACATATCATAATATAAAACTTACCTTTAGATGTTTCCCAGCATACAAAAGAATCGATTAAAGACAAGCCTTGTTTATAATAAAATGTAGTTAACTCCAGCCAATCGGCATCAAGTGTACTAACGACAGAGCCTTTTCTCGTTACTTTCATTGACAAGATGCCTTCCTGATAGGTCCAGCAGGTTGATTCATCCTCAAAATCATTGAAGACTGTATACAACTTGTTATCTGAGTATAGGTGTTCAGAAGGAAGAAAAAAGGGGAAAACTATAATTTTATTGAAAAGATTCCTAAAATAGTTTCTTTTTCTTTTTTTTTTTTTTTTGCGGTACGCGGGCCTCTCACTGTTGTGGCCTCTCCTGTTGCGGAGCACAGGCTCCGGATGTGCAGGCCCAGCGGCCATGGCTCACGGGCCCAGCCGCTCCGCGGCATGTGGGATCTTCCCGGACCGGGGCACAAACCCGTGTCCCCTGCATTGGCAGGCGGACTCTCAACCGCTGCGTCACCAGGGAAGCCCTAAAATTTTTTTTTTTTAAATTAATCATGAGCTATTTCAAGCACACAAACAAGCATACAGAATAATAAAATTATCCACCATTCAGCTTTATCAAATGTTAACATTGGGCCAGGTTTGCTTCAGATTTTTTTCAAGGAAATGAGACATGGATGTACTTGAGGCTCAAGATGTATCTCCCCTAATCCTATTCTCCAGAAATAGCTACTGTAATGAATTTGGTGTTTATTATTCTCATGCAAGTTCTTTTATTCTTTTAATACACATTTCTTTACACATAAATGATGTTTTGCAGTTTAAAAACAATGTTTTGCAGTTTAAAAAGTTTTTAAAAAATGGTATTATACTGTATGTATCAATCTATAAGTTGATTTTCCTGTTCAACATTATGCTTTTGAAGTGTAATTAATACATATAGATCTTATTCATTTAGTTTAACTGCTATATAGCATTCCCGTTTACTTTTCTCCTGTTGATGGACATATACATTATTTCTGAATTTTTGTTATTACAAACATTATTCATTCCTTGGACACATATGTGAGAGTGACTCTAGAATGCATACTTAGACATGGAACTGCTGGATCCTATACTTTACAAGTTAGCAAATTCTTAACTTGGGGGTCTATGGACCCACATTTATGGTTGTGTTTTAGGAAGTCTAACACTACTTGTGTCACAGAGTATTAGGGGTATGTGTGTTATGTGTGTTTTTCTGGGTGAGTCTCCATGGATTTCACCAGACTCTCCAAGAGGTCTTTTGTTGGTCTCCCCCCAGCCCCCATTGCTATTGCTCTCACTCCTATCCCCCAGCACCAAAAGTTAAGAACCAACCACTGCCATAGAAAAGTTATGAAAAAATACAGGGTTTTAAAATAAATAGAAAGCAGAATCTAAAGACTGATAATTAAATTAAGTAGCATACTGGATTTGAAACTTAAAAAACTTGGAACAGACACCTGATCTAATCAAAGTTAGGATGGGAACCAGCAGGAGTTTATAGGTAGCTGTGGGTGGAATATAGTGGGTAGCTCTCTGGCCACAACTCCAACAACTCTTACATTCCTAAATTTACATTCCTAAATTTTGCACTCTGCAGGAAAATCAGCGTGGTTGTTAGCTAGGGAACTGGTAGAAAAATGGGAGGGTGTTGGTGGTGGTGAGGTGGTGAGATGATGAGTTGGGAAATGCTCTGGGTCCTTTCTTTTTTTTTTTGCGGTCCGCGGGCCTCTCACTGTTGTGGCCTCTCCCGTTGCAGAGCACAGGCTCCGGACGCGCAGGCTCAGCAGCCATGGCTCACGGGCCCAGCCGCTCCGTGGCATGTGGGATCTTTCCAGACTGGGGCACGAACCCGTGTCCCCTGCATCGGCAGGCGGACTCTCAACCACCGCGCCACCAGGGAAGCCCTGGGTCCTTTCTTAAGGAGGCTGTGTTGACCGTGGTCCAGTGGGTCTCTGCCATGCACGAATATTGAGCAATCTCACCATAACCCAGAAAGCCGATGCCACCAGTGTGTGTGGCCTTAGCACCAACACTGATCAAAGGATCAGTTAATAGCAGCTAACTTAATAGTCTATTCTGTGCCAGGCACTGGGCTAAGCACTTTGTAGACATCTCATGTCTACTCACAACAACACCCTTTCTATTAAAGACACTGAGGCAGTCTGGCTGCAGACTCTTAACTCTAAGGTGTACATAATCTTTGATTTTCTTTATTAGTGCTTTTTAAAGCGTGTCTGTAAATGTATCAGAAAACTTAGAACAGTCCGAAATACATTAAAAAATACTCTCAACTTCTTGGAAGCCTTGCTAGCTGCAAAGAAGAATAAAACTATTGTTTAAAGTTATTTAAGAATGCAGGCACGGGCTTCCCTGGTGGCACATTGGTTAAGAATCTACCTGTCAATATGGGGGACGTGGGGTTCGAGCCCTGGTCCGGGAGGATCCCATGTGCCGCAGAGCAACTAGGCCCGTGAGCCACAACTACTGAGCCTGTGCTCTAGAGCCCACAAGCCACAACTACTGAAGCCTGCATGGCTAGAGCCCGTGCTCTGCAACGGGAGAAGCTACTTCCATGAGAGGCCCGCGTGCCGCAGCGAGGAGTGGCCCCTTCTCGCCGCAATTGGAGAAGGCTCCCGTGCAGCAACAAAGACCCAGTGCAGCCAAAATAAATTAAAAAAAAAGAAGAATGCAGGCACTATTGTTATATTAGTTGTTTCATCATGATGTGCATTTTAATATTCTAACTGGTGATCAAATAAAGCCAATTAACTTCAAAGGTGAAAAGTGCCCATGAAATGGGAAAGGCCAAAACTAAAATTCTCACACACTGTTTATAGGGAGAAACATAAATCAGAACAGCTTTCTTTACAGAATCACTTTTTTGGTATACATGCACAGGCTCCATTTTACAGAGGAGTTGGTGTATGACTAAATGGGAACCAATTTTCAACACAAAGTTTTGTTATGTGGATGGTGTCGTATGACCATGCTAGGGATAACTGTTCGGAAAACTGCCCTACCTTATTCCAGGTGCAATAATTAAAAAAAATCAAGAAAAGTTTATACTAGTTTTTTCATCTTTATAATCATTAGAGATTTAATTTGCCTCATATTTGTTAAAAAACCCTTAAAAACATATTTGTGCTAAATTTAAACTAATATTTCTATTTCTACTCATCTTGTCTGTTACCTTCTCCCTTTCTTGATTTAGAGAAACTGGGGCTGCCATCTCGTTCCATTTGACACTGTCCACTTTCATGATGTAGTTCTTCCTCAATTCCACTTTCAGATGATTGCCCACTTAATGTTCCTTCATTCCAAATTTTACAGTTTTCCTCTGAACTGTGTCTCACATGTAGTGCTGATTCTGTATCTCCATCCTGGTTGGTTCCATTGCAGAATTTAAGTGGTGGACAGGGCTGTGATACGAATCCAACAAATTTCATTCCTCTTTTAGCACCTCCATTAATCTGAAGTTTAAAAAGACACGGTAGAACAAAATGTAAACTTCATTTGCATTGATTGCTTTATCAATTAACCTTCAGGCTTATTAAGGAAATCCATTAGAAAAGGAGTAAATGGACCAGTAAAGACACATTCATAAACAAATTAATGACCTCTAATATAGCAAGAATCCTAAAACCCTGTCACACTATGTTGGTGGTTTCTTCAAACAGAACTGATACATTTTAGAAACTGTGAAAACAAGAATTATATTTTCGGGACTTCTCTGGTGGTCCAGTAGTGAAGACTCTGCACTCCCAATGCAGGTTTGATCCCTGGTTGGGGAACTAAGATCCCACATACTGCAGCTAAGCCCGCGCGTGCCGCAACTAGAGAAGCCTGCGCCGCAATGAAAAGCCCGCGTGCCGCAACCAAGACCCAGCACAGCCAAAATAAATAAGTAAACGAACAAACAAATAAGTAAATTAACTAATTAATTTTAAAATTATATTTTCTCCAAGAGGTTACTATTTGGGAAGAACTGATACTTCCATAGCATAATTTTTGCAGCCCTGTTAACAATGGTTTCTCTAGTTTAAGCAAAATTCAAAACTATCCCAAGAAATCCTCAAAAATAACATTACTGACTGCTTCCTATTCCCCAGGGAGGGGGGCAGAGTTCTTGAGGCGCTAGGCTACTGTGTACCCTCTTTGCCGGCAAAGAAATAAAGCCACTCTTTCTTTCTCCTCCATTTAAAAGAAAAACAAAACCAAACACATCTTAATAATAAAGAAGAGACATTAATTTAAAAGCAGAAAACATACAGCCTTTTTTGCTTGTGTGTAAAGAAAACTGTTAAAAGACTAATTCTTGACAAATGCATACATATAATGCATAAGCCCAATTCATACTACCACTCTTAAGAAGTTTCTGATTTGCTTATATCTTGGTACTATTATCTCCTTTCTGGGCCAAATACACATGATTAGATTCAGTCCTATCAGTTAAAGAATAGGGTTCGGAAGCACATGAAATAATGCCAGTGAAATAATTTGAGACCCTAAGAGTGATTATTTTCATGCTCAACACTTTTCTCTTTCTCTTTTTCATCATTTCTTTGTTCTTGTGTCCACGTCTTTCTCCTGTGTTAAGCTGACCATTCTTTTGAGGGCAGGCACTATCTTACTCACTTTTGTGTTGCAATGTTTTGTACCTACAGGTGCTCTATAAGTACTCGTTAAATAAGTTAAAATGAAGAAATAGCAACATCTTTTATACGGCCACGGTTTGAAACATTTTAAATGTTTTAAATTCACCTGGGAGGCGAAGAAAGAGTTATGATGGAGGTTGCAAGTGCAAACGTCTATAGTCAGCTATAAAATGGAATGAAAAAGGCCAGGAAGAAGCAGGGTGAAACCAGACAGCAATGGAGGCTGCTGTAACTTAGCTGAGACGGACAGAGGGTGTGGGTGTATGGAGCTTGGACAAACACTGCTGGCACAATATCATTTACTCCTATAAATTAACACATTAAGACTGTGACACTGCAAGAAGCCTTAAAAATAACCATAAATTGTCCTTTATATCAGGTTTCCCGGGAGAGGAGAAGGAGGTGGTGAGGAGGAAGGTAAAGCCCGGTAAATTTAATGTCAGTGCTTTCTCTAGGTCTTATTTGTTGATTTGGGGGGAAAATTGCAGAAGACTTTCTCTATTACTAAAAAGTTGTATCTGGAAAAGCTGGTATGATACAGAGTATTACTGTCTTTTCCGTTTTTTAAGTTGCAAGATTGATGTTTTTCATGTCATTTTTATTTAAAAATCCTGGGGAAAACATTTGTAAATCTAAATTTAAAAAAAGAGCAAACATTGACATAATGTTAAAATGATTTGAAATCTAGCTGTTTAACAATCAACTCTTTATATCAGGCAGCCATTCAAAAATAATATTTGGCACTCCTCTATTGCTCTTGCTCATACACGGGGCAATGTTCAAATATTTCACGTGCTATTTTTCCTGAAGCTTTTCTTTTCATAAAATAACCCCATTACTCTAATTGCTGAAATAACAGTACTTTCCTGTTTAAATAGATCTTTGTGTCCAGGAAGTCAAATACAAAACGAATGCTCTCATGATGATCTATTAAGACTAAATTAGCAGTTAGATTTTTGTTTCTGGAGTGGATTTATTCCCAGAAAAAAAAAAAAATTTTTCCCAGAATAGTAGTAGTAAATAGTATGTGTACCTTGTTTATAAAAATCTAGTTTCAAAGGCTGTTCCTGTAAAACCTTATTAAATGGTGACTTTATATCTAAATGGGAAGTATCATTGGCAGCTCTAACTGGCTAAACACAAACCACAGATAATCTTACACACACGGTCATTTAAAGCTTGGGAAAAATAGAAACAGCGAACAAATTTCACAGTTTCTTATTTGACAGGAAATGCCTTAGGTTTTTGGCAGTATTCATTTAAATAAAAGCTAAACCTTACACATATGACAATGCAACTAAAATAAAAAAAAACCCCAAACTTTCACCATCAAATCCTGTCAGTTTAGAATACTTATGAATGTACAATTCTTTTTTTTTTGGTTTTAATCAATATACATATAGTGTTCAATTTTTCATTTAAGGTTCAATTAAGTTATATTGAATAGACTTTTTTCTCTCAACAGTTAAGATAGTTGTCATGTTCAATGCCCATAAAATAGTCTATCATATTGATAGACCGTTGCTTCCTTCTCAGTTTTCCACTTGTTGAGAATTTGGCCCCTATTCACTGTTGATTAAAATATCTTTGTATAAACATGATTTTTCCCTTTTCAATTAATTTCTTGGAATGGATTCCTAAAGAGGAAATTACTGGGTCACAAAATAAAACAAGATTTATGACTTTTATTACCAAACTGGTATTCAGAAACACTGTACTAATTTATTACAATGCCAATTGCATTGTATATGAATGTATATGAATGTTTTGTTAAAGGTCTTTCCAACATTGAATTTAATATTTTCAATTTAATTTCTCAGTTAATACTGGTAAATTATTACTTCTCAGTTTTTATTTACATTAAAAATTATTAGTTAGGTTGAACCCTTTGCCAAATGTCTCTTTATTATTTGTGTTTCCTTTCTGTCCATGGATTCTGTCTGTCCATTCAAGACTGAATATACTTTCATGCGTTTGTATTCATTTCATATATATTCAGAAAATGAAGCTTCTATAAGACACATTTCCTGCAGATTTCCCCCCGATTCTTTTTTTCCTAGTATATAACTTATATTTATATATTCAAACTCAAATTACTCAATCTATTCATAATTAAATATGTCCACTCTTTCATTTTCTTTCAGATTTTTTGCACTTGAAAAAATTACCTCTTTAACTCATGTGAAATGTGTGGAGTCTATTTTCTATAGAACAATTGCCTATTTTCCCAGCAGCACTTACGCGGTAATGGTTGTTCCCCCATTTTATTTCATCAGGTTTGTTATGAAACTTCTTATATATGTATAAATCTATTTCTGGCATTTCCATACTGTTTCACTGGCCTGTATTTCTGTTTTTAACTCTACAATTTGGTACCTGTGCTTCAATTTGTTTTAAATTCTGGTAGACTAAGTCACCTATCATTTTCCTGTTCTTTTTAAAGTAGGAAAGGAAATTGATGAAGAAGAAATATGAAACATTTCTCAATATCCCATGAAAAAATGTATACTTTTAGTACCTTTTCTATCAGTTCTTTTGCTACGTCATTTGTTTGTGTCTCAAAAGTTAGAGGACATTCCTCAATCACAAGCCTTGGGCGTCTTTGTCCACTGGGTGCTGTCGAATGCTTCGTGCTGTAACAGAGAATATGTTTATGGTTGGAAGCCAATTGCTGATTTTCAGCTAATATGCTCATGTGAAAATGAGCGAGTAACTCACAAGTAAGTTCAAGGCAATCCTTTTTCTTTGTTATTTCGACTCTAATGGCTGTCTTCTTACGTAAAAATATTGGAAAAACACAATAACTTTTATTAATTTAGATTTCCTTAATTAAAACCTCTATTAATTTAATTTCTAATTTAACATGAAAGAAAAGCTCCGCGTCTGTTGTTTTGATAAGTTATGAGAAATGATTTTAGATCACTGTTATACCTCATTATTGTACAAAAGCATAAGTAACAATCCTATTTAAGTGCAGATAAATATTGTCCTGTCTTTTTCCTTTTTCTTCTTTTCTGATCTTCACCCCTCGATTATTCTTAGCCCTGGCAGGGCACTGCTAAATCTATTTGAAGTAATGCGAAAAGAGAAAAATAATTTATCCTTGGTTTGTAAGATTTGTAATTAGGACATAAGTGTTGCTATGGTGTGGTAAATGGCATATTTACTTAGTAATGCTTGAACTAGTAAATATCTGATGAGGTGCCCTGTCATGGTGAAAGTTGCTTGTGTACACGCCCTCTCAGACATGTGTAAGTGGGCAGTTAGTTACTCAGTAGCAGACAGTGTCCCTAAAAAGCACATCTGGGATTTTTTAAAGCCTCTTCTTTTTTTCCCAATTTTCCTGTTTTCTCTCTTTTTCTCTTATTTCATTTTCCCTTCTCAGCTTAGCCCTTTCATAGTTAAAGTCGTTATAAAGAGAAAACACAGTTTTTACCCTGGTCTTTGAGATGATTTGGATACAGTTGGAGAGTTGTGTAAAAAAAATTTAATGTGTTAATCAAAGACATTGGTCTGGTTATTTTCATTCTTCACTGGAAGGAGTAACAGTATTTTGAATACTATGAAACATACAAGCTTGGTTGGCAAAAACGTTTGTAGTATTGTTTGGAAAAACAGCTATTAAAAAAGTTAAAAAAGAACCTAAAATGGATGGCTTTCTGGCTTTCCCATCCTATTTTTTGGAAAAAGCTGATAAGAGACCTATCCAGTTTGTGAGAAGTTGGCATGTAGGCCTTTTTGCTGTAAAAGTTTTGGAAGTTAGAGATAGTTTCTGTTGCCACTATTAATAAAGCAATACAGGACAGTTCAAAAAAAACGCTCAGTGAAAGTGGACTTGTTCAGTCAGCTCTTTTAGCCCAGTGATAGGATATAGCTAATTGATACCCCCTCATCTGCTGAAGTTGCTATATCAGCTTTCAGGTGCTTCTTGAGTCTATTTTCCTTTCCCATTTTTCATTGACATCCTTACCTAGGACCTGTTTGTCTGCAAGGGGCTAAATCTATGAGAAGTTTTAAGGAAGGAGATTTAAGTTTCCTTCTCCCAATTGAGGTTCAACTGCTGGAAAATGTGCCTTAAGCCAAAACCCCGAATTATCCTTTATTCTCCATCACTTTGTTCAAACTTGCTTTGCTTTTAGCCAAAGAAAACTGTCTCTCTCAACAGCTTCTTAGTATGACAGTTTTCTGGAGCGTCAGGCTTACCTTAATTTCAAGCGCGATAGCACCACCCTGTATAGGTAACTTGCAGGCAGGTGTTTTTGCTGCCCAACAGGTTGTATAACAGGATGAATAGCCCCAACAATATATCCTTTAAGATAGTAGTCTTCCACTTTTGTTACTATATCCAGAATTGAATTTATCTTGATTACTTCTGGGTTTGGCGAAGCTGAAATATCAAATGCAAAGAGAGATTTGCACATTCATAAAGTTGAATTACATATTATTTCTATCTACGTATGATAATACTAATGAATAGGAAATGTATCCATATGATTTAATCTCAAATAAAGTTATACTAACAGGTATTATATATTTTCTAATTTAATTTCAGAAAAAGCAAAAGTAATCTTAGCAGTTGTCAGATATTTAGTATTACCAATATGTCTTAAAGTAGAAATACAATGCCCTATATATATTTTTCAAATAAGGCACTTTTATTTTATTTATTTAAAGACACATTTTAATTTTTTTATTATTTTAAAAAAATTTATTTATTTTTGGCTCTGTTGGGTCTTCGTTGCTGCACGATGGGCTTTCTCTAGTTGTGGTGAGCAGGGCTACTTTTCGTTGTAGTGCACAGGCTTCTCATTGTGGTGGCTTCTCTTGCTGCGGAGCACGGGCTCTAGGTGTGTGGGCTTCAGTAGTTGCAGCACGTGGGCTCAGTAGTTGCGGCATGCAGGCTCTAGGGCACGCGGGCTCAGTAGTTGTGGCTCGCAGGCTTAGTTGCTCCGTAGCATGTGGGATCTTCCTGGACCAGGGATTGAACCCATGTCCCCTGCATTGGCAGGTAGATTCTTAACCACTGCGCCACCAAGGAAGTCCCTGTCAAGTGCTTTCTTATTTCTAATTACATTTCAAAAAAATCGTGTTTTAAGTTTCTCTGGGAAACTAAAAATATGGTTTCTTATGGCACTTATATAAATACTTGAGTAAAGAAATTGAAAAAGTAAAGGCAACCAGAAGTTCTTCTTAATAAGTAAGAATTCTAAATACACAGGAAATTTAAACGCAACATTTATATGCAGTTGAAACATTCCTTTGAAGCAGGGCAAATCTGTAGAAACTGTAGAATAGTACAATCTGTATAGTTTTTAGTAAAAGGAAAAGGGTGTGTTATATGGGAAAATGAATGTTCTAGCAGTATTAATTTTAAAAACAACTTCATTTTCTGTGACAATATTTCTCATTTTCTGGAAAACAACCAAGACTTAATAACTAGAAATGGAGCTGCAGTTTGGCTATCTCTTGAATAACAAAACATATGAAATGAACTCCAGGTAGGGGCAGTGCTGGCTGTTGGCCTTCTGTCAGTGTGGTCAGTGCTGTCCAGAAAATAGCTGTTGTTAATTGCCCAAACACAGGAAGTAGGTTAAGAAGCAGACAAGGAAGAAGGGTCAGAGGAAATCCCTACCTCCTCTTACATTAATATCCCTGTGATGGAACAGAAATCCACCACTTGGATTCACGTGGGTTCATGCCAACTTCTCAAATGAAAATAAAGCACTCAAAGAAAAGTTATATAAACCAGCATGAATCCATTTACTCAAATTTTCATCCTCTTTTGGATTTAAACTAATCTACAATATATTTTCATCATTATGAATAGGAATAAAAACAAAGAGACTGATCCTGGTTTTGGAAGAAACAGCTGGATTTCATTGCAAAATGACCCAGTTCTGCATGGTTGTGTGGCAATCACTCCGTGATTCATTTGGTCTTACTTTTTTAGTATTTTAACTATCAACCCTGATTTCCAAACAAAGGAACTAAAAAACTATAAACTAGAATAAACTGTTAAGACTAAGGAATGAAACATAGCCTAAACTTATTTTTAGAACTATACACTAATCCTACAAAAATTTAAAGAAAATTTCCGTCTTTTAATGGATCTCATTGCTTATTGTAGAAAATGGAAATGCTTAGCATGATACGAAAGAATCTCCATAGTCTGGCCTCTGTCTACTTATTCAGCGTTCACTCTTGTCATCCTTTTCCTTGTACATCTTGCTTTGGCAGGACTGAACTACGGGAGCTCCTGAGCCTGGCACACTCTTTCATGTTGCCAGAACTTTGTTTCCTTTCCTGCTCCCCAAGTTGGGTTAATCATTCCTTCCTCTGTGCTGTGCATTCTACTAGTTCCCTTATCAATCTGTATTATAGATACTTGTTTATGTGTTTGTCTCTGCTCTTAGACTGAGAATTCCTTAAAGGCATAAAACCAGAATCACTTACCCTAAGTAGAAAATTACATACAAATAAATACAACAAAAAGAAAATACGTATCAAATTCTAGCTGGTTACTGTTATCTGCCAAGGACTGAGCCACAGCCCTGCTCTCTCTTTGTTGAAAGGGAGAATTAGCCATTAGAGAGGTGTTAAAGACGTAGTAACTCCAAACTGATTGGAAGGCTTAAAAAGAACTGAAAAGGGCACAGCTTTCCGACTATGAGATTCAATGTTATTAATTCTGTGTTTGTGTGTACAACTTAAAAGCATCTCAGGTCTAGTGCTAAGTCTTTTGGTAGAGGCTTGGAACCCCTATTGGGATAAAAGTAGCAAGGACACAGTGATGGCAGCAAGGGGGACAGATGACATCAGAGGGAATAAAATGAATTATAAAACTAGATAAAAGAACCGTAAAAACTTTACAGCCTGAGGTCTCTTAAAGGACTTTCTACACTTCATTGGCCCGATTGATAATGATAATGAAATCATTCCCTCCATTCTATTGTTTCAGAACAAGGTTCTCAAAGGCAGAATTTTGTAACACGTTAAATAGAATCACAAGAAGATAGCTATAACAGAAGGACATTGGTGTTTAAAGAGGTTCCTGTTCAGGTAGAGAATGTATTTCTAAGGAACACCTTGCTCTCTGGCGATGTCAGAGAAATTTTGTGTCAGTGGAACAAATCCAGCTTTTCTAGTCTAATCTACATCCTCTTGCACTTTCAATAAAGTAAGGTTATTGTCTTGAGTTCAATGCAAAAGAAATGTTAATGCCTGAAACACAAAGACACACACACACAGAAGTTTTGAGAAGAATTACAAACTGAGAAATCCAGTAAAGTTACAAAGGGAGAAAAAAAATTGTACATCAGTACTAATAAGCATATCTTACACATAAGTTTCTGTAAAGATCATGTCATTTTGGGCCCAGTGCTTTACATTAATTATTCAACTGTCTCAAATGTGCATGTTCTTCTATTTGGAGGTCTGTGTCTTTTGATAAATAGCACTCGGCATAGACATGATAATTATGATAAGTGCTTGAAAAACACTTGTTAAAGGACCAACTGAATGAAAAATTGGTTGTAACATTAACATATTCAGTGAACAGAGCTCCAGGTTGCTCATGGAGCAGTAGTTTAGAAAATAGACTCTAGGGGGACTTCCCTGGTGGTCCAGTGGTTGGGACTCCTCGCTTTCACTGCTGAGGGCCGGGGTTCAATCCCGGTGGGGGAACTAAGATCCCACAAGCCAAAAAAAAAAAAGACCTTCGGACCAGACTGCCTGGATGCAAATCTCAGCTCTGCCACTTACTAGCCTGGCAAGGTACTTTGCACCCTCGTGCCTCAGTTTCCTCATCTTCAAGGTAAGAATAATAATAGAGTCTACTCTATAGGGTTGTTAGCATTAAATAAGTTTATATGTGTTCCTAGAAAGTATCTGGCATGTAGCATGTGCTATACAACTATTGAATGCTTTGTTAAATAAAGTCCTCCCCTGTGGAACGAGAGGCAGCACACTACTCTCAGAGCATTAGGATCTGGAAGCAAATCACCTGGGCTCAACTCATGCCATTTACTAGATCTGGAACAAGTTAATTTGCCTGTCTGAGACAGGGACAAACAATGGTATTAACTTCATAGAGTTGCTTTCATAGTAATTGTAAAACATGATCCCAGGGCCTGGTACAAAGTAAACACTCAAATATCAGTGATGTGCCTGTCTGTTGGTGGCCCAGCTTAGAAAGATAGTTTCGAATGAAGTTGCCCTCCGAGATGTCATTGTTGGTTTAAAAAAATCTCCAGGAAGATCATTGTAGAGATCTGGATTTATTCCAAAAGCCCAGCCTGGCTCACCATCTGTAGAATTCTGTATCAGAGGCCCCTAACTCATGCTCTAGATCTCAGGTCCCTAACTCACCCTATAGATTAGGTGTCCCTCCTGCCAACTCACTCCAAATAACAGTCCCTACCTCACGCTGATCTGCTCCATTGAGTCCCAGACCCAAATGTCCAAAGGTATCAGCCTGATAAAACAAGGAAAGGGTCTGTGCTGAAGGAAAGGGTCTGTGCTGAAGGAGGGACCTGAAGTGGGGAAGACTTAATACCTTATCCAAGAGTGCAGCAGCCCTGGCCCAGTGCTGCCATGTGGTCATGTCGGCCCAGTGTTGCTGGATCTTCTATTTTTTTAAGAAAACCCCCAAATCCAGATTCTTATGTAATATCTCCCAACTTTAAAAAGTGACAGTTAATTCAAATATCTTAACACTATACACACCAAGCGAGACCTGTCTAAAAGCTGAATATGGCCCATGTCTTGTTGGTTTGCAGCTTCTCCTCTGGGTTGCCCCAGGGATTCTGCAGACCAGAGCCTGCCTAGGTCCAGGCCAGGCCACCTGGACCATCTTAGACAGTGTTCAGCATATCCTAGGACACAGAAAGTGATCCAAATCTTCCTCATTAGTGGGGACAGGAGGATGATGGTGATAGGAGGGCTGGGGTTCATTCTGTTAACAAATTGCCCTTCTTATCCTACATTGTGATTTATTTTAAACATGCCAGTGTCATTCAAGAAAGGTAAACCTAGGAGCAAGGAAAGGTGAAATAAATCTGGGAATTTTGTTGAGAACTTCCCTTCAGGTAATCCCCTCGATTCTTAATAATGTTTTAAACTGTGCTGAAAAGAGACTGGCAGCCTGACTCAGCTTAGAGATGTGAGGAAGGGGCAAGCTGTGCACACAGAGTGAGGCATTTTCATCAGTGCTCACCAGAGTGAATAATTATGTCTCCAAGATAGGCTTGGTGTTTGAAGCCAAGCCTTTGATTTGATGTCCTTACACTGGGGCAGTAATATCAGAGACTCTATTACTTTTTAAACACAGGAAATTAGGGGGGAGGTGTGGTTGTTTTGGCTAGAACTGAACAGCACAGGCAGTTAGCA